AGAAGTGTCAGGCACAAATGGGATGGCTGGGGTATCCCCTGCAAGGCCGGGAGCTGGACACAGTGAGAGCTCCCTTCCAACTGAGCATACTCCGTGATTCTGTGCAATGTGGCAGAGGAGGACTCCTCCTGGCCCAGGAGCCATTTGCTCCAAGGACAGACCCACAGCTGCCAAGGGAAGTCACTCACAGGGCGCGGGGCAGGAAATTAAAGCCTGGAGATAAGAGCAAAAGACAACATGGCCACGCCATAACGGGGACCAGATGGGCTGTGGGCATCTGGGAACAGCGAGGTGCTGCCTTAGGTGGCCAAAAAAGCCATCACAAATTCCCTCTTCTTCAAAACAACAGACAAAGACAAGCTCCGCTCAAAGTTCTGCGTATATAGAATTGTAACATAGGAGATACAAACTGGTTAAAATACTGCTAGGAATAGCACAAACAAGAGACAGTACTTCACTTACCACTTAATACTCGCTTCTACCAAAAAAAAAAAAAACCAGCCAAATATCCAGATCTTGCTGTGTTAAGTTATATGTACACCTGGCAGTCCAAAAGTTACTTGTCTGTGATTTAATTTAAGCACCTTGATTACACAGTGTCCTTTACTACAAAACAGCCAAACATACATTCATAATCCTAGAACTATCGTCATAATTAGCGTATTTTAAAGCATTATGTCAGACAGGTGCATCCTAAGCTGTTTCTGTCTTTTAAAGATAAGGGGTCTGCACCACCATCCTTACGTAATGCAGCAACTCAGGTTACAGTAATCATTTAAATGCTTTCACTGTTACAAAATGCTTTAGAGAGAAGGAAAAAAAAAAACGAAAGAGAAAAGAAACGCGCACGTCAATGAGTCAGTTTGCTGTTGTCAGACCGTGCTATGTCAGGAGACCCCCGTGCCGTCGCCCCTCTGCCCTGCAAAGGGGCTGGTGGCCGTGGGGTCCCACGCCCATCCCCATCCCCGCCGCGGGGTCGCATCCCCGTCCCGCCGCGCGGCTCCCGGCGGCGGCACCCGCGAGGTAGGTACCGGATATCCCCAAAGGCAGAGCCGAGCCGTGCCGAGCGCGCCGCTGTGTGTCCCCGCCGGCGGCCGGGCCGCTCCGCTCACAGCAAGCTGCTGGGCAGGTTGCTGCTCTGCCACCTCAGGCAGGTGGTCTTAGAGTGTTTGTACAGGTGGCTGGACTGGCTGAAGCGCTTGCCGCACTTGAGGCAGGCGTAGGGCTTCTCCCCCGTGTGCACGCGGATGTGCTTCTTGCAGTCCGTCAGCGTCAGGAAGGTCTTGCAGCAGATCTTGCAGGCGTACTTGCGCGCGCCCTCCACCACCAGCACGTTGTGCTCCGACAGAGCCTTCTTGCACTTGGACAGCACGTCGGCCGAGGCGCGCGTCAGCTGCGGCGGGCCCGGCTGCGACAGGTGCCCGCCCTCGAAGGACGCGCCACCGTTCAGCATCAGCTGCGAGCCCGGCGAGCTCTCCTGCAGCTGCGAGCCCCGCACCGAGGTCACCACGGGCATCTTGGGGGCGATGCGCCGGTAGCCGGGGAAGCCGCCCGCCCCGCCGCGCACGGAGCCCATCATGGCCCGCGACAGCGAGTGCAGGCCCAGCCCCGAGCGGGGGAAATCCATGCCGAACTGCTCCGCCGCTCGGTAGCCAGAGGTCTGCACGCACGGCAGGCCCATCACGTCCTGCATGGGCCGCACAAAGTGGGAGTCCGCGGGCTCGCTGAACGGGTTCTCCACGTGCGAGACGGCGGCGGAGGAGTGGCCGCCGGCGGGCCCCGACTCCGGGCTCATCAGGTACGGGGCGTCGCCGTCCATCCTGCAGTCGCTGGTGGTGTTGGGAATGTTGTCATCGCTGTTCTGGCTGGTACCAAAGCCACCTCCCCTGCTTTTGTTCAAAAAATTCGAAATGCTGAAAGAGGACTTGTGTTCCAGGTTGTTGGACACCTCCATGATGTGGATGTCTCCCACCCTGTCGGTGCTGGACTGGGGGTCTGAGAAGCTGCGGTCGCTGCTCTCGGGACTCAGCTCGATCTTCTCTGCGCTCACCACCCCTCCTTCCACCTCCACGGACTCGCTGCCCTCCGCCTGGGAGGTGACATCGCTCACCTCGTCCTGGGGCTCCGGGGAGCTCAGGGGCTCCGACTTCACCACCACCCTCATGTGCTCCTTCTCGTTCAGGGTGACCTCCGGGTTTTCGCACGGGAAGTTGCTCTTCTCAGCAGCAGCCTCCTGGTCGAAGCTGGTTTCCACCTGTGTGGCCTGGGATGCCATGGACATCTGGGAGATGTTCCCCCCGCCATTGTCTGACTGGCTGGGCACTTGGGCATCCTCCTGAGTGCCGAAGGACTGGTCGAACACGATGGCGCTGTCCTCCTGGTTGTCGGCCGCGGCGTCGGCCTTGGCGTTGTCCACCATCTTGAGCGAGTCGGGCGAGAAGAAGTCCTCGCGGGAGTGCACGACGGGCGGCCCGCTCTCGGGGGCGCCATCGGCGCCGGGCTCGTCCAGGGCGGGCCGCGCGCGCTGCCGGGCGCGCTCCTCCGAGGACTGCTTGCGCTTGTGCAGGCGGCGCATGGGGAAGGCGGCGCGCTGCTCCAGCCCGCCGCGCAGCGCCGCACCCGCCGGCTCCTCGGCGCCCTGCGCCGAGCCCAGCGCCGAGCTGACGATGCTGAGCCCCAGCTGCTGCAGCATGAAGGAGCGCTGCAGCCGCGCGCTCTGCTCCTGCGCGCGCTCGCTGGGCGGCGACAGCGGCAGCGTCCGCGTCGTCAGGTAGTGCTTGCAGGCCTTGACCACCGAGTTGAGGTGCAGGTGCGAGGCGGCCAGCAGCACGTCCATGACGTTGCTCTCGCCCAGCATCAGCGTGGAGGTGTACATCATGTCGATGAGCGCGGCGAAGGCCTCGGCCGTCACCACCTCGCTGTCCAGCTGGATCATGTTCATGCTCTGGTCGCCCTCGGCCACGGTGAAGAGCGCGCGGAAGTGCGTGCTGCAGGCGGCCAGCACCGAGCGGTGCGCCTTGAAGTGCCGGTTGCCCACCACGATGACGCAGTCGCACAGCTGCCCGTGCAGCCGCTGGTAGTTGAGCTGCTGGAAGACCTGCTCAAAGTGCCCCGGGAAATCCATGGTCCTGCAAAACACAGGAGGAGAGCCGTGAGGGCTGAGCAGGGCAGTTGCACTGTAAATCAAAGGCGACTCCAACAAAGGGGAAAGAGGATGATGCATCTAACTCCACCATCAGAAGGCCAAAGAATTACTTTATGACACTGCACCATGTACATTGCATCTAAGCTGAATCTGCCATGTACTCACACTTGCTTACAACTGCACAGAACTGCCCTCACCTCTGATTCTCCCCTGACAGTCTGTCGCAGACATCTTTTATGGAAAACCCTTTCCTTAGGATTTTTCCTCCTGAGAAGCTGGAAGGCCTCAGGAACAAAATGCAAACAACGGTTATCTGCTGCTGTGGAATGCCACAGGTGCATCTGGGATTGGTCTCATGTGGTTGTTTCTAATTAATGGCCAATCACAGTCAGCTGGCTCGGACTCTCTGTCTGAGCCACAAGCCTTTGTTATCATTCCTTCTTTTTCTATTAGCTAACCTTCTGATGGCAGAAGCTGGAACAAGACAAGGTGCCCTCCCAGCCCAAAGTGCTGTATGATCCCGTGGCTGAGTCCTGGTCAGGCTGCAGTGAACCTGGCAACCAGCCTCTCTCACTTACTTCACAATCACTCTAGTCTCATTCACCCTGGCAGCCGCCCCAGAAAACAAACTACTCAAACTCTAATTAACTCTTAATAGTTTATAAAAACATCGGTCCTGTGTCACCCTGGTTTTTTAAGATTTTCTAAGCCTTCTTATGTTCGCATTCTTGTAGTGAACTTTCCCACACAATTTCTGTAAATAACTCATTGTTTTGCATTCCTTTATGGAGGAGGAGAGAGTTGATGCGCTGTTGGTTTGACCAGTGACACTGGAGACGCAGACACACACACACTCAAGTCCCTGTGCTTTACTTTCCAGCAGCAACGCCGCAGCATGGATGGGCACAGGACCACAGAGCAGCCAAAAAACGATCACACGGCCAGAATCACGCTTTTGAGGAGGGATCAAATGCAGGCCTGCTGATTCAGAAAGTCTGCGCTCAGACGCGGAGGGTTTGCTGCCTTTCCGTTCCTGCTCGTTGCCGTGTTTGCTGCTCGCCCTGCCCGGGACATCCCGGGGATCCCCCCGAGTGTCCTTGGGTGGACACAGAACACGGAGAGCATCACCGGCACACTCAGCGCGGGGAGCACGGAGTAACGCAGAGCGTTAGAGAAGCGCGGCCGGTAACCGGCGGTGGATACCGGTGTCTGCTGCTGCCGGGCGCTCCTCCCCAGACTCTGCCTCGTTTTGCCCGGTTTATTCCCCGGAGCATCACCGGGAGCAGCCGCGGTGCGCGCCCCTCCCCGAGAGGCACCTGCACCCAGCCCGCCATCGGCTCCGGGCACCGGGAGACTCCGCTCTGCGCCGCGCACGGGACATAAAGGGGAGACCGGAGAGCCCCGGTCCCGCCCGACGCCGGGGTCACGGGTGTCCGCCTCAGCGCCGCCCCCCGCCCCGCTCACCTGCGGTGTCCACGCGGGAAGGGCCGTGCGAGGCTCGGTCAGGCTCGGGCTAGGCTCGGGCTAGGCCTGGCTCGGGCCTGGGACTGGGCTCGGCCCCGGCCCCGCTCCCGCCGCTCCGGCCCCGCCCGCCCCGCCCCGCCGCGCCGCCACTGCGCGTCACTTCCGGCCGCTGCCGGCGCGGGCCCTGCTCGCAGCCAATCCGCGGCCTCGTTACTGCTACGCCCCGGAGCAGCCTCACCTGGTCCAATCGGAGCTGAGCTTATTGCCACGACGGGAGGCGGCGGCGGAAGAGGCGGAGGAGCGGGGCCGGGGCCGGGAGCGGCGTGGAACCGGACCGCGCATCGGAACCGCGCCGCGCATCTCCGCATCCCCGCCGCGCCCAGCGCCTCGCCATGGCCACCGCCACGGCCACCGCCACCTGGCGCTACCGCGGGGACCCCGAGGGCGAGCGGCCGGCGGCGCTCGGTGAGCGGGAGCGGGCCGGGGGCGCGGGGCGGGTCAGTCACGGGCCCTGCGGCCGACCCCGGAGCTCACGGCTTCCTGTCCCGCAGTGCGGTTCGCCAACGGGAGGCTGGAGCGGCCCGAGGCGCTGCACTTCACCGTGTACCGGAACCGGGACTCGGCGCACCCGCGGAAGAGGCACCGCCGGATCCTGGTGAGGCCGCGGGGGCTGCGGGACACCGGCCACGGAAACGTTCGGATGCAGTGATAGCTGTACACAGCGAGGCCATAGCCGGATAACGGGCTGAAAGTGACAAATGTCACCAATTACCCCCGTGCGCTGCAGGCCCGGTGCGGACCGGGAGCGGGCCCGGCTCCAGCGAGGAGCTCCCGGCTGCGATCCCGCCGAGCAGGGCCTGCTGCGGAGGGCTGTGAGCCGCGCTTCCCTCCCGTCGCGGCGGGAAGCTCCTGGCTGTGCAGGCGGGCAGGCCTGGCACTGGGTGCCCACCCTGCATCCCTGGCACTGCCCAAGCCGGGCTGGACACCGGGGCTGGCAGCACCTGGCGCAGGGGAAGGCGTCCCTGCCGTGGCAGCGGTGGCATAGAGAGGCTTTAAGGTCTCCTCCAACCCAAACCAGTGTGGCAGTGTGAGGATCTGTGCCGAGCTCTGCAGCAGATTTTGTTAAACAGAGTTTGGCCCAGTGTGTTACACAGGGAGTGTCCTGGGCTGGCTGAGGGACACACTGAGCCCTGGGGAGCTGCTGCCCAGCTCGTGGGGGACACCTGGCAATGGATCCCAGCATGTTCTGCCCTCGCTGGGAAATCTCCTCCCGAGGGGTCTTTGCTCAGCTCAGGTGCATCCCAAGGGGGGCTCTCAGTGGGAGGGAGCTGAGCCTGCAGTCAGAAGGTGCTTTCTAGTACTGCTTTCCCTCAGCCCTTCCCAGGATCTCTCTGCCTCCCCAGGTCTCTGAGACGGAGCGGCTCTGCTACGTGGGACACAACTTTGGCAGCCAGGTCATGAGGTGCAACTCCCTGTGCAGGTATGGGGCAGGGGGAGCAACACATGGCTGCTCATACACAGAGCTCCCTTCTCTTTTTCCCTTTTTTTCCCTTATTTTTCCCTTTTTTTTTTCCCATGTTTTTCCTTTTTTTTCCTTTTTTCCCTTTTTTCCCTTTTTTTCCCTTTTTTCCCTTTTTTTCCCCTTTTTTCCCCTTTTTTCCCCTTTTTTCCCCTTTTTTCCTTTTTTTTCCCTTTTTTTCCCTTTTTTTTCCCTTTTTTTCCCCCTTTTTTTTCCCCTTTTTTTTCCCCTTTTTCCCCCTTTTTCCCCTTTTTTTTCCCCTTTTTCTCCCTTTTTTCCCCTTTCTCCCTTTCCCTTCCCTGCCTCGGGGCTCCCTCCCTGGGCTCAGGGGTTGGGGCAGGAGTCTCTGGGTGTTGGTGCGCAGCTGGTGGGAGCTGTGCTGTGTAAATCAGGCTGGGTTGGAGCTCTGCTGTGGGGCCTGGGGTGAGGATGCAGAGCAGCAGCAGGAGGGAGCTGTGCTGCTGAGGAGCTGGGTGTGTCCAGAGATAAATGCAGTTTAACAAATGTGTGTGGTGCAGCTGTGAATTCAGGGTTGTTTGTGGGCAGATTTGAGTGCTCCTGCCTCTGAACGCTGGTGAACAGGTGATTCTGAGGGCTGAAGTGCTGCCTGCCTGCATCTCTGGAGATCCTGAGCTCTGGGAGGAAATTTGAAATTTGCTATCAAGTCCTGGCATACTGAAAGTAGCAGAACTCTGGTACCTACACTTCACCTAATTCAGTTGTTTCAAGAGTTCTGCATTTACTCAGAGTATCAAGTCTTTGTGTTTCTATATGTCCACGTGCCTTGGAGATAACCTGGTTTATCACAGCGCTGCATGTGATGGCAGGAGAGCTGGGGTGTGAGAAGACCTTGTAATTTAAATAATTTCCACTGCTCCGCCTCTCACTCATCACTGCCCCCGTTCTCCCCAGGTACTTTGTTGGCGTGCTGGACAAGAGCTCTGGGCAGATGGACGTCTACAATGCTGAAATGTTCAACATGCAGCCTCTGCTGTCAGGTGAAGGTGCTGGCAGCCACAGCTGCTGGGCTGCTCTGTCCTGGCCCTCCCTGCCTCGTTCCTTGGCAGGCAGCAGGGGCAGATCCTTCCAAAAAACCCCGAAACAAAACAAACAAACAAAAAAAAACCCAAAAAACCCCAGGTTTTATCCAGCAGGGCTATTTTTTGCCATTGAACCCAGGATAAGAACCCAAAAGATTCCCATAAGAACCCATAAGATCATATCTTTTGGTAGCTGATTTTTACCCTGTGCAGCAGGATGCGGGTTTGGCCACAGTCCATGTGTTGCACCCGTGGGGTTTGTAGAAAAGGCCTTTTTCATTCTAGATTTTCATGTTTGGTGTGTCCTTTAGGCAGCCAGGTGGCACGGAGGAGCTGCTGTGCCAGTCTGTCAGTGACCGGGCTGCAGGCACTCCCTGCTGGCTGCTCCTGCCCAGGCACTGTGACTCTTGCTGTTTTGCAGATAACGTGATGCCTGACGACACCAAGGACTACCAGACCAAATCCTACCGGGAGAAGGTAAAGCTGGGAGCTGTGCTCTGCCGTGGGCTGGCAGGTCTGGTGTCCTGCAGGGCAAACCTCTGCAGGCCCAGCGTTCCCCCCGTGCCCAGCAGGCAGCACAGGCATGGCCTGGGCGTGGGTTTGGGGTCCCCCGTGGCAGGCAGGAATGGTGAATCTGACTCCATGTGCTTAGAAGGCTAATGTAGTATGGTATGATATTGATATGATATCGTACTATATTGATGTGATATGATACTGATATGATATTGTATTATATTGATATGAGATGATATTGATGATATGTTGATATGATGTTACATTATATCATTATTATTTTATTATATATTATATTTTGTTATATATTATTATATCTATAATGTATCATATTATTTATATTATATAATATCATGTAATATAAATACTATATTATATGGTATTGTATGATATATTGATACGATATTATATGGTATTATATTATTACACTATTGTTATATTATTATATTATTGTTATATTATTATGTTGTTATTATAGCATATTATATTTATATGATATCATATAATGTAATATAAAAATTATATGGTACTATATGATATGATATTGATATGATATGATACTAAAGACTACAGAGAGGACACTTACAGAAGGCTTAACAAGATAATGATGAAAACTTGTGACTCTCCAGAGTCCAACACAGCTGGACTGTGATTGGTCATTAAGTTAAAACAACTCAACAGAATCCAATGAAACAGTCACCTGTTTGATAAACAGTCTCCAAACACATTCCAAAGCAGCAGAACACGGGAGAAGCAATCAGATAATATTGTTTTCATTTCTCTCTGAGGCTTCTAAGCTTCCCAGGAGATAAATCCTGGTGAAGGGGTTTTTCAGAAAGTGCGACAGTGACATTGCCTGGCTCAGGAGTGTTTTCCTGATTACGCTGGGTTCCTGGTTGTCCTGGTTCCTTTGGGCTGGTCCCCACCCCAGTGACCAGCTGCCCTCGCAGACAGCGTATCCCGCGCCTGCGGGCTTTGTTTGAAGCTCTCCTGGGGGCCGTGTCTGCGTCAGGAGCAGGGGGTTGGTGTTCCTGGGCTGCTCGGGGCACTGCAGAGTGTGCTGTGCCCCGTGCAGATGGATCTGTGCATCGAGGCCTTTGGCACCAGCAAGCAGAAGCGAGCGCTGAGCTCCCGCCGCATGAACGCCGTGGGCAGCGACATCGTGAGCACGGCTGTCACCAAGGCGGCTGCCAACGTCATCGACACCAAGGGAGTGACAGGTGAGGGGGCTCTGCCTCGGGCTGTGAGCAGGACAGCCTGAAGTGCCTTTTGCTGTCTGCCCATGCCAAGTGCGGCTGGAAGAAGAGGGCTTTTCTGTAAGTGATGAGGAAGTAGCTGGTCAGCAGCTGGGATGGGTCCATGGAGAGGAACTGCTGCTTTCTGGTCCTGCTGGGCTTGGTGTTGGAGTTAGCTGAGTGAGGGAAGGTCCGTGTGACATCAGTGTCCCTCCTGCCTGCTTTGGAAGCTCCTGTGGGTGTGGGTTCACTGGCTCAAAGGCAGTGCCTTCAGCTGGTCTGAGCTCTGTGGCGTGGCTGGTGAAAAGGCACCTTCTTACCTCAAAGAGTGGTGCCAGCTTGGGACACCATCACAGCACAGCGTGCTGTCACCGTCCCTGGGGGCTTCCAGGCTGTGGCAGGAGGGAGCTGGGGCTGCCCTGGCTGTGGGCACCTGGGCAGGAGGGCAGACAAGACCCCTCCAGAGCAGTTCTGGGATCCTGGGAGTGTCAGTGGCAGGAACAGGAGATGTCTGTTGGCTGTAGACCCCACCACCTTTCATCCCTTCTGTTCCAGGGTGGATACTGACTGTGCTCTCAGAGCTGCTCTGTGCCAAGTGGGTGTCCACAGAACACAGGTGCCAGAACTCTGCTCTGCCCGCATCTTGGTGCCCTCCTTGCCTAGATGTTTCTCTAGTCTGGAGTGGCCTTTCTAAATTTTTATGACCAGAAGGTGTGACCGTGTTCAGAGGGGTCTTAGCATGAGGGAAGACACAAGGATCTGACTCCATGTTTCAGAAGGCTGATTTATTATTTTATGATATATATTACATTAAAACTATACTAAAAGAATAGAAGAAAGGATTTTCTCAGAAAGCTAGCTAAGAATAGAAAGGAATGATAACAAAGGCTTGTGGCTGGGACAGAGAATCCAAACCAGCTGATTGTGATTGGCCATTAATTAGAAACAAGTAACATGGGCCAATCACAGATACACCTGTTGCATTCACAGCAGCTGATAATCAATGTTTACATTTTGTTCCTGAGGCCTCCCAGCTTCTCAGCAGGAAAAATCCTAAGGAAAGGATTTTCCATAAAAGATGTCTGTGACAAGAATGTTCTTGAGAGAAGTTATAAATGTCTAAAACTCCAGTTGTGACCGAAGTAGTGTTGACCCGTTTGAGCGAACTTGCTCCTAAAGGAAGGGTTTGGGTTGTGCTGCTGCTCTCTGCATTTTGGTTATCATGACCTGAGTGCTCCTGTGCCGGTTCCCTCCCCAGGGCTGATGCAGGACGTGGCCCAGGACGATGTGCAGAACATCTCTGCCTTCCTCCCGCCGTGCCACGAGGACGCCCAGCGGCCGGAGCACGTGTACAGGTTTGAGGACAGTATCTTTTCTGTGCACTGGGGCTTCAGTCCCCGCGGAGCCATCTGCTGTGCTGGGGGCCAGCTGAGCCCTTGCCCCTCATAGGCCAGGAGCTGGGACTGACGTGATGCTGCCCTGGGGTTTTGGGGCTGCAGGTGCCATGTCCTGCCCGTTCCTGTGGAGAGCAGGATGCTCTGCCTCAGCTGGGAGCATTCCTGCCCTGTTCCTGTGGAGAGCAGTGTGACCGTGTTCACAGGGGTCTCAGCATGAGGGAAGAGACCAGGATCTGACCCCATGTTTCAGAAGGCTGATTTATTATTTTATGATATATATTATATTAAAACTATACTAAAATAATAGAAGAAAGGATTCCATCAGAAGGCTGGCTAAGAATAGAATAGGAAGGAATGATAACAAAGGTTTGATAACAAAGGAATGATAACAAATGATAACAAAGACTCTCTGTCCAAGCCAGCTGTGATTGGCCATTAATTAGAAACAACCACATGAGACCAATCACAGATGCACCTGTTGCATTCCACAGCAGCAGATAATCATTGTTTACATTTTGTTCCTGAGGCTCCTTACCTTCTGAGGAGGAAAAATCCCAAAGAAAGGGTTTTTCATAAAAGATGTCTGTGACAGAGCAGGATGCTCTCCCTCTGCTGGGAGCATTCCACAGGGAGTGTTGGCGGGCTGTGCTTGTGCCACAGCCTGCCGGAGGCTCCATCCCCTTGCCCTGCCCGTCTCCTCAGTGAGTGTGACAGAGCTGCCCTGCGGGGAGGGGAGGCCAGGCCTGTTGTTGTCCTTAAGCTCCTGCCAGTCCTGTCTCCTGCCGAGTACGAGGCGCTGCGGGTGCCTGCAGCCGCCCTGGCCAGCATCACTGCCGAGGAGATGGCCAGGAGGGCAGAGGAGAGAAGGTGAGGGCACTGCAGGGGCTGAGGGGCGCTGGGGCTGCTGCTGCCCGTGCCACGGCTCGGGGCAGAGGGAGGACAGGGCATCCGGGCATGGCAGAGCAGCCCCCTGGCCCGGGGAATGCGGGGGACACCTGTGTGCACAGCAGCGGCGGCAGCTGAACTCCCCCTCTCTTTCCTGCAGCCTCTGCTCCTTTGTTTTGGAGGAGCTGAAGTTCCTGCCCACTGATGAGAAGAGCAGGGACCACAAAGCCAGGTGCCTCTGGTTCCTGGACACCCTCATCAAGTTCAGCCAGCAGAAAGTGATCAAGAAGAAGCGTAAGAGAGTTTTCAGCTCATAAACACATGCTTTTGGGAATGTCTTCATCATCCTTTGCCTACCAGCTGAGTGTGTGGATCATGCCCCTGCCATGCTCAGGGTCCTGCTTTTGAAGGAACACCACACAAAACATTTTGGCTGAGATTTTCCAGACTTGCCATCCTCCTTAGAACTTGTGTGTCTCTTTCTCAGTCCTTGGCAGGGCTGAGGGAGGAGGAACTGGCAAACCTGGCTTTAAGTTTACTGTGTTGCTGTGACACAGCAGTCACCCATAGGACTTGTCTGAAGAGAAGGTGGGAATGACTAAACTTGGTGATAGCAGGGACTTGTTAGTGTGGTCTCAGCTTTGACAGTGTTTGTGGCAAAATAATGCATAGGTGTGTGTGCATTTTAGAATGTATACAGTGGAACTGGGAGGCTGCTTTTACTAAGAGAATAAAAGCTGTTGGGATTCTCTCAGGCCTGAAGAATTAAGAGACGTAGAAATGAAGCACTGAGGTTTGTTTTAGGTTTATTGTGTTCCTGGGAAGAGCCCAGCCCCAGCAATCCCTAGGTGCTGGGGTTGCTGGGGCTGGGCTCAGTGATCCCAGTGGGTCACACACATTGTGCTGTTCCATGCTAAGTGTCAGGATGGTGCACGTGCTGCTGTGCTGGCAGGCTGTGTGCTCCTCATTGCTCTGCATTGCCCCTTTCTGCCCTAGATCCCATGGGTCCTGAATGCCCACACATCATCAGCAAGAAACTCATGAAGAATTTCACCTCGCTGACCTACAACAATGGCAGGTGAGGGATGCTGCGTGGTGCTCCTGGCACAGGCACGGCAGAGCTCAGCTTGAGGGGCCGCAGACACACCTTACACTCCACATCTCACCAGTTCTGCCTCTTGCCACACAGCATCCAGAATTTAATCTCTGCGTCCATGAAGGCCAAAATCACCGCCTATGCCATCGCCTTGGCTCTGCACATTAACAACTTCCAGACGGATCTCACCGTCCTGCAGAATGACCTGAAGCTGTCAGAGAGCAGGTGCGTCTCCTGTTCCTCCTCACCTGCCAGGACCCTCCTGCAGAGGGACCCTGGGAGAGCTCCGCAGTGGCTCTGCACCTGGGCAGGGCCAGGATAGGCAGTAGCCTGTGGGTGCAGGACCTGCATTTCCCTGGCAGCTGCAGCTCTGCTCCAGCTGTGCTGCTGGCCCTGCAGAGTGCATTGGATCAGGCTTTCTGGCCAAAACTTCACTCATTGCTGGGTCTTACCAAAGCCCTTGGGCACTGCTTGGTTTTCAAGCTTCCTCATCAGTTTTGATGCCACCACTTATTTTGCCCACAGTTACCCTCTATTCTTTGACCAGAAGTGGTGGATTTAGTGGGTTTAAGAGCAATCTGCTATTGTTTCTATCCGTTTTCCCTTTTCCCTTCTGGGACTAAGCTTTTCCAGGAGTCCCCGTTGGCTTTGGCAGTGGGTGCTGGGTTTGGGTAGTGCAGCGCTGCAGCTGGGGGAAGCAGGAGGAGGCTGGCACCTGCTGGGGAAGCAGCAGCGCCTGTGCCCGGAGGGCTGTGCCTGCAGCCCTGCTGCTCCAGCTGCTCCAGCTGCTCCAGCTGCTCCAGCTGCTGCCTCCAGGCCGTCCCTGTGCACAGAGACACCTCGGGGCCCTCTGAGGGGTCAGCCACGGGGGCTCACCCCACTGATGGCATTTCTGGCATTTCCCCTGCTTTCCAGGATCCTGGACATCGCCAAGGCGCTGCGGCTTAAGGTGTCCAAGGCCAAGGGGGTGCCAGGGCTGGAGAATGACCAGAGCCACAAGCTGGGCACCCTGTCCCTGCCCCTGCCCACGCAGAAGGCACCGGAGGGACAGCGCAAGCGCAAGAAGATGAACTGAGCAGCCCAGGAGCTCTGGGGCCACGCAGCCCCTCCCTCACAATGTCATGGGGATGGGGATGCCTTCATCTGCTGGGTTTGGGTCCAGCATCAGCCCTCACCCAGCTGGAACCCAGGCTGAGGGTTTCACCTCTGTAAAATGCTGCTTTTTTGTCTATTTATATAGAAAAGGCTATAATAAAACCTTTCTTTTCTAGTTTGTCTGGGCAGGTGTGAAATGGAGGTTGAGCTGGAGCACAGGGAGCAGTTTGAGGTGGCAGGTTCTGGTTCATGGCCCCTCCCAGGTTCAAGGTCAGAAGGAGGGAGACAAAGACTGTGACTTACTTACACCTTTTTGTTTCTCTGGAGTGCCAGTGTAATCCTGTGCTCAAAAACTGTAAAGAGATTCCGTTTCTGTCACTTTTCCTATCCTGGCGGTTTTCCTGGGCAGGGAGAGTTCTGTGATTTGGAGCTGGTATCACTTTCATGGAGAGCAGGGCCCACAGCTGTGGCTTCCCAGCCCTCGGGGAGATCCTTTAGTGTGGTTCCTCTGAGTTGTCACTGCTGGTGCTCAGCCTCACGGAGCTGATTACTGGGTAAGGCTCTGGGAGTGGAGAGGGCTCGTGAGAAACGGGATCCCCACCAAACTGGTGTGTGAAACAAGAGCGTGGAATGTCACAGGACATCATCTCTGGGATGTCAGACAGTAACTTGGGTTTGTTATGTCCTCGTGGGATGTGTGCATCTCCTGACACACCTCAAAGCGCCGCTGCTCACCCCTGTCACCAGCAGCGGCACACACACCCTGTGTTCACTGCTGCTGGGGGAGTTGCAGGCTCCAAGGAGCCAGCAGGGCTGGCTGAGGCCGGAAGGGGGTCCTGGAGGTCTCTGTGTGCAGCCCCTCTCCCTGCCCAGCTGTGTCCAGCTGCCTTTGGAGTGCCTCTGGTTACAGGCACTCCACAAATCCACAGTGAAGCAGTTTCCCAGCGTTCAGAGGGCGCCTCCTTTGCCCCGTGTGCTCGAGGCCTCTGGCCTGTCCCTGGGCACCTTCCCTGCAGCAGCCCTTCTCCCCTGAGAGGAATGCGGGAGTGCGAGACCTGGTGATAGCAGGCGCTCGTTGGTGTGGTCTCAGCTTTAACAGTGTTTTGTGCTAGAAGAAATAGATGCATAGGTCAGTGTAGCAGGCTGCATGGAATTGGCTAGGGCTCTGTGGAGGGCTGAGACTTAACAGTAGGAATTGCTGAGTCAGGATGAAATACCAAAATAAGCTCCTGTCTCCCGCCTCTCGGACCCCAGCTTCTCTCTGTAACCCCATGGGTCACTTTTCCCCTAACCCCTACTATTGGACAAGTTTGGACCCCCTTACACCCTACAAAAAGGGGCTGTTCTAGCCCATTCGGGAGAACAAAGCCGTCACAGACCCTTCAATAAAACCAGCGCTGTGGAGCCACCAGGACTATTTCTCCTTCTCTCTCATCACCTTTTCCCTCCAGCCCACAGGTGCCTTAGCAAGCAGGAGCTGAAATCCTCAGAGAGCTGAGAGTCACTGAAGAGCTGAGATGCACCAAGCTTGCTAAGGTAGCCGTGGTGGCTACGAGGGGCCCGGGCATTGGGGCACTGTCCCCAGGAGGGACGGAGCTCTCCAGGGAGGACTGCCCTGCTCTGGGGCAGGGGACCGCAGGTCTGTGTGCATCGTAGCCACAGGCAAGTTGGGCCTTCCAGGCTGAGTGCCCCTGGTTCCCTCACTGTCCCTTGCAGCAGTGAGGCCCCAGCCCCTTCAGCATCCTCCTGGGCTGCCCAGTGTGTGCATGTCACAGACAACTTTTATGAAAAATCCTTGCCTTAGGATTGTTCCTCCTGAGAAGCTGGGAGGCCTCAGGAACAAAATGCAAACAATGGTTGTCTGCTGCTGTGGAATGCAACAGGTGCATCTGGGATTGGTCTCATGTGGTTGTTTCTAATTAATGGCCAATCACAGTCAGCTGGCTCAGACTCTGTCCGAGACACAAGCCTTTGTGATAATTCTTTCCTATCTCCTATTACAAACAAGCACATGAGCCCAATCACAGATGCAGCTGTTGCATTCCACAGCAGCAGATAATCATTCTTTGCTTTTTGTTCCTGAGGCCTCCCAGCTTCTCAGGAGGCAAAATCCTAAGGAAAAGATTTTCCATAAAAGATGTCTGCAACAGAGGTAATATAAAAGGGATTTTTTATTTGGAAGCATTCAGGGGCAGTTGTGGAAAGATGTTCACAAAAGCCCACTCCCGCAGGATGAGTACAGTTTGTCTAAGTTTAGCAAATCAGCATAATTGACAATAAAGCACCAGTTAGGAGGACAAGTGGTGATGCAACTCCTCACCCCAGGTCCAGCCCCTCTCTGGAGCCCTGCCTTGGCACTGGTGCATTTTGTCCATGACATTATCTCCAAGAGCTGCTCTCAGCCTTGGGAGCCAGGAAAGAGCCAGGAAAGCACAGGGGCTTTGTACCCCTGGGGCTTGGAGCTCTGGAATTTTTCTTGTTGTTTAGGGAAAGGCCACGGAAAATTACTGGGAAGACTACAGCAATAGGCTACAGAGCTACAAATATATGTGTGAAGAATATAGAGAACATAGAAATAAAGACAAAATCCAAATGGCATCACTATGTGCGCGATCTCCAGCTGCTCACAGTGACCCCAAGCTGTGTTAGAAAGTCTCTTTTCCCAGCCCAGTGCTCAAAGGAGCAGTCAGAGCTCTTCATTTCCTTGTCTCAAGGTTGTTTATTGTTCCTTGTCTATAAAATTCTTTCTCCTGCCCTGCCCAGGTCCCTCCAGCAGGACAGTCAGAGGCACTCTGCCTGCCCCAGGGCAGTGTTGTATTTTTATACTAAAAACTACCTGTACAATATTTACAGTTACTTCCCAATACCCATCACCTGTGTTAGACACTGAGCTTCTACTCTAAACCAATCCCAAAGTGCCAACATCACCCAGAAGATGGAGGCCAAGAAGAAGAAGGAGAAAAGCTGGACATGCCCAGATCCCTCCATCTTGCCCCCTGAACTCCCATTCTAAAAACCCCAAAATCTATTTTTCACCCTGTGATAAATTCACTATCATTCTACTTAATTTGTCGTGGCTTGCAGATCTTCATCTGAGGTTGGTAACTTGCTCCATGGGTCACAATCAAACCCACAGGGGCATTTTGGGCTCTCTGAGTGCCAGGGTCTCTGAGCCCCCTGGCAGGGTCTGGGCTGCTCGGGACAGACAGAGGGATCCCTGGCTCCTGACACATGTGCACCTCTGGAGGTGAGGACAAGGTCACAGAGTCACAGCACCACCGAGCAGGGACAACAGCTGCGAGGTCATGGAGCCCAACCTGCAGCCAAAGGTGGGGCTGGCCTTGTCAGCCAGGGCACAGCAGAGTGCCACAGGCAGTGTGCCCCTAAACACCCCACTCCAGCCCCTCTCTGCACAGCCCACTCCAAATTCTCATTACCCTGAGACAAAACTCTTCCTGACACCCAGCCTGAACCTCCCCAGGGCTGGAATCCAGGACACCCCTCTGGCTGCCCTGGGGGCTCAGGGGCCCTGGCTCACAGCCCGACATCTGTGACTTTAATTATGACCCATGGAAAAAATTACCAACCCTACATGAGGATCAGCAAGCCACCACACTCTAAGTAGAATAATAACCACTTTGTCATGGGATGAAAAATAGATTTTTGGGGTTTTTAGAATGGGGGTTCAGGGGGCAAGATGGAGGGATCTGGGCGTGTCCAGCCTTTCTCCTTCTTCTTCATGGCCTCCATCTTCTGGGTGATGTTGGCACTTTTAGATTGCTTTAGAGTAGAAGCTCAGTGTCTAACACAGGTGATGGGTATTGGGAAGTAACTGTAAATATTGTACAGGTAGTTTTTAGTATAAAAAGGTAACACTGCCCTGGGGCAGGCAGAGTGCCTCTGACTGTCCTGCTGGAGGGACCTGGGCAGGGCAGGAGAAAGAATTTTATAGACAAGGAACAATAAACAACCTTGAGATCGAGAAATGAAGAGCTCTGACTGCTTCTTTGAGTGCTGGGCTGGGAACAGAGACTTTGTGACACATCTCGGGCTCACTGTGAGCAGCAGAAGTCCCCAGACCCCAGCACAGCTTGGAGGCTGTGTCGTCTTCCCCAGCACAGGAGGGCAAAGCCGCAGCAGGGCTCACAGGCCGTGCAAAGCCACGCTGGATTCGTGCCAGGGCAGGGCACGGCTGACCAGGGCTGCCCACACACGCACTCTGGCCCCTGTCACCAGCAGGCCCACCTGAGCTGCTCTGGGCTTTCTGCCCTCTCAGGGCAGTCAGGACTGCATCGCTCGCCAGTGGCTTTGGCACAAACAAACCCATCTGCAGGAGGACACGAGGCTCCTGGGGAAAGGACCATTCGGGAGACGTTGTGCCTGACAGTGCTCTCTGCTGCTCCAGCACACAAGGCCATACCTGCAAACACCACCGTAACACCCAGCAGCAGCTCTCCAGAGCCCCCATAACTGCGTGGGTGACATGAGGAGAGATTTCAAACACTTTGGGCCACACCTAATTTAACAAGTCATTAAGAGAATCTTCACAGCTGAACCCATAAACACCAAGGGACGTGTGCAGCACCACAGCACTGGTTGTTTGTCTCTGTACAAGATCCCTGCAAAGAGAGCAATGGGTATTAATGAATGAGACTTAAAAGCAACATAATTGGACAATACTTCTCCTTGAGCAAGGACCCGTTCTGTACCCAGCAGGAGAGGGACCAGGCAGCAGCGGCAGCACCCACGGCCGAGCCGAGCCCCCATTCCCAAGCGCACGCAGATGAGACAGAGCACAAACTCTCCAGAGCAGAAATCCGTTCTGATTTAGGTGAAATGTACATCTTTGGGTCTGTGGCTGGAAAACACAGCTATGTAGCCTGACTGCAAAGGCCTAGGCTCAGGGACACTGCTTCAGTGAAGGACAGAGAGAAGGAGGGAGACAGAGGGTGATAGAGAGAGACAGAGACTGCTGTGAGAGCAGGCCAGC